TTTTTATTTTATTTTATTTTATTTTTAATTAGCGCCTAGTTAGACGACGATCCGCAGTTTTGCTTCATTGCTTTTGCCGGTTTCTCTTCCCGAGGGCTTGGGTAGCGCATTTCAAAGTGAGAAGGTGCGACGGCTGCAAAGCTCTGTCAAAAGTCTGTGGCAAACGTCCGCTGGCAAGCTAAGAGGGCATCCAAGTTTTCTCAGGATGGGATTTTTTTCTCTTCTTTTTTAGGACGATGGGTAAAAAGCTCAGAATTTCACTTTCTGAACTTGTCTAAACCAGCTTTTTCCTGCCTCCGCACAGTTGCGTTTAATTAAATGTGCCTAATTTAAGCACAAGGGCTGCTAAACAATAGTCTGTAGCATGTGTAGCACAAACCCGTATTTCCTCCCTCCGAAAAACAACAAAGTGGACAACTTTGGGAGTTTCCTTTCTGCTGGGTGCTTATGAATTATTTTTTCTTTTTTTCTGAATATGTAAAGCTGAGCTCTCAGCTGGTGTCAATTGCTGCTGCTCCACTGAAGTGCGATTTTGCTGAATTGCAGCGGTGGAGAACCTGGCTGTGGCCCAAGAGCCTTGCTTTCAAAATATTCCCCCCAAATAACCACTGTTGAGAGAACACTGAGTTTGTCTGGCGAAGCACTTCGAGCACAGATAATACTTCCCTTTCAAGGAGATGTGCAAATGATTTATTTATTTATTTTTTAAACTAAATAACAATCTCTCATTATCAAATGATACATACTGTGAGATTCTTGCTTTCTGGCAGCTTTTCTGCTTTTCACCTCCTCCCTCTATCCCAGTAATTCTGTTTTAACAACAAAACTCTTGTTTTCTCTTGCTTTGTGCTTGCAAACCTGGTTAGTTTAGGACAGTGAGAATGGTAATAGCAGAGGAGCATCAGTATTGGTACTTGTGTGCACTATCTCTCTCCGCATTAGAAAGCGTTTATGGTGCTCAGGCTGCTTCATTAACTCCACGGATTTCTAGCATGAGTGCTACAAGATCACCAAGTCTGGGTCAGGCTTAAGCCCACAATTCAAATTCATTTAACTGTCCAGAAAACACATTAGATTATTTTTGCTGGCTTGATTCTAGCTGGGGGGATAAGGGATGCCCGATCTGCCAGGAGGCTGCTAGTGTGAAGGTAACTTGTGCGTGTTTTAAGGAACGAAGTTCAGCTGTAGTGAGTATCTGCCACTGTGACTGTGGTGTTCTTGATCTGGGACTAAATGCCCTAAACCCGATTTTATGGCAGCAATGGCCTTAACTGTTTTGGGGAAGGTCAGTGAGTACAACACTTTTTTTTTTTTTTTTTTTTTTTTTTTTTGGGAATGTATCAAGACATTAATTTTTAGAGGGGCATTTTTCTGTTGAGCTGTGCCCTTCTGAAGGCTCTCCTTACCTATTTGTAGTGACTTTGTAGAGGAAGCTAAAATAGTACAATCCTTGAAGTAGCTGTAGGAAAAGTTTGTATCAATCATACTTTTCAGAGATCAAACACTGTGTGCATCTGAGACATCTGTGTAAATTCTACCATAAATCAATGGTATTTGTAGTTCTAGCGAGACAATACTACAGAAAAATCCTCATAAATCTTCATTCATTTTTTTTGAAACACGGTATGTATTTTACTCTGTTCTGCCAGCTGACTGGACTCATAAATAACTCCCCAGGTAAGCGGACTAACTTGGTTAAGACCAGAACTAGTAAATCTTTAACATAAAGCTGAAACTTGGGAGAGTTTTAAGGGTGGGCCACCCCCCACTTTTTTTTTTTTCCTTTTTTTCAAGGATGGGAACTGTTGTAAAAAGCTTTCTTTTTCCAAAACTTCATTTGCAACTCTTGAGTGAAGATAGCTGAACAAATATTGTGATGCCTTATATACCTATAACTTAGAAATTCTTTTAAGCCTTGATCTGTTGATCACATCCTTCTAAGTTCCAAACACTTTTAATAAGGTGAATGTTTTATAAGGGCTTGATCCAGTGCAAAGGATACCACCAGCCATTAGTTCAAATGCTGCAGGAATAAAAATGTGATTAGCTTGTGTGGCTTCATCAGTGCTTTAATATGCTGAAGCTTTCCAGAAAACAAATCGCGGATTCCTCCATGGTTATGGTCTTCAGTGATCAGACAGCTGTTCCAGCAAGTGTAGGGGTGTTGAGCCCAATGTGAAATCCGATATTTGAATTTCGAATTTCTCTTGCCTATATTTCTCAACTGTTTCAGATGAGTTGTACAAATTTCTCACACTTAACTGTTGAATCTGGGTGTGATTTTGTTCACTGTCTTCTGCAGGACTGCAGAAGCTTTCAGGATTCAGAGTTTTTGACAATTTCTCATCTGTAAAGCAGCACTCGTTCCAATAGCATTGTGCCAGACAAGTGTGTTAAGGGCAAATGTTGGCATCTGGGGTGAGTGAGATGACTCTGTGGAGTGGTATCAGATCCTCAGTGTGTGTGGAGCAATACTATCTATTTCAGAAATCTACTGCAGGCATTTCTGTCACTTCATTTCTGTAGTAAATCATCATAACTAAGGGAAAAAAACCCAAACCTCTCTATGGCTGCAGTTAGGCAAGAGCTGTGATGTCAGTAATGCCAGTAAGCAAATGGGGCTGGATGCCTTCGAGTTGGTGATGATATGGAGGGGGTGGTGTTAGAAGAGAGCATGGAAACAGGGATGGGTGCTTTTTTTCTCCTGTCTGTATCTGAAATGGCACGGTTTGTTCTCTGGCTTCATTTTGCCATAAATAGGAGTACCTGTGTTTGAACCAGGCACTTCAGTAGTTTGCTATAAACAGCTGCGCCGTTTTAACTCATAACTTTCATAGCCTTCAAGGATGTGGGTGCTATGAGTGAACACAGGGTGGATCATTAACTGAACAGGCAAGGGAAAAATTCTTAATGCTCTTTCCATGGGGATCATGCCTGTACATGCTGGCATGTTTCTGCACAGTTTTTTTTTTCTTAGAGCCTTTTGTGTATGGGATTACTGAAAGGAGCAGACTGCAGCCTCTGTAATGGGAATCTCAAGTCCTCACACATGTGGAGGAAATGGAGGGGGGGAAAAAAGAAAATAATTTCTTATCTGAACTGCCTGTGTTCAACATAATCCTCCTAATTTGGAAGGATATTAATGTCTTATTAAGTAGGCAGACACAATGATCAGAAATGTTAGGAACATAGGGAAGGCTAACGTGGTTCTCCAGTATCAGACACGCTGAGATAAGGATGCTTATTCCTGACGTCTCATTTTGTGCTAACCATTCTGTTGTGCCCTCACCCTTGCTAATACCTGTTCTGCTTGGGGATTAGTGTGGGTTGGGATCAGTCTGACACTAAATCGGCAGGCAGGTCAGCGTGAACGTTTTGTAAAGGAGTGAGAACTGGGACTGCGTACAGGTCTTAGTGAAGCTGCTCCTGAGCATTTGTGTGTGTATTTATGAAGGTAGCCCAATGCTGATTGAAGAGCTGTGTGATTCCTTGAGTGCAGGGAGATGTTAGGAGTTAACTAATCCAGCAGTTCATGCCATCGTTTACCTGAGTATCTCCTTTTTACACCAGAGCTGTGTCAGCTCCTAACCCTTGGCTGCTACCTGAAGACATTTCACTAATCAATCTGACATTTGGCTATCAAAATAGTGCCCTTTCTTGCCTTTTTTTTTTTTTTTTTTTTTTTTTTTTTTTTTTTTTTTTTTCTCGTCAAGAAGACTGCTTAGCTGAAAAGTAGATCTGATTTACATTTAAAAACAAATTAATTCTCAGATTCTCAGAAATACTCTTATTTGTTTAATGTTGTGTTCTTTTAGGTCCAGTGCTGACATTCTAGAGGCAGAAGTTGCCTTGTTGTGTTACAGAGACCAAATTCTTTCTTTTTTAGCTGTCATAACTCTGTTTCAACAGAGACCATCTCTGTTATCTCAGACCATGACAATCAACTGCAAACAGAGGCTAGGATATTCCATTAAGCCTTTGTAACTAAATGTGTGAATTGTATGTTGCAGAGATGTTCTTGCACTGCCGATCTTCAAGCAGGAAGAACCGCAGCTGTCTCCTGAGAACGATGCCAAACTGCCACCCTTTCAGTATGTTCTTTGCACAGCCACGTCGCCTGCTGTGAAACTGCATGAAGAAACCCTGACCTACCTCAACCAAGGTAGGGTTTGTACTACACTGAAGGAGGGCATATTTCCTGGGAACAATCCATGAGAGAGAGATTTAATCCCATATTTGTGCCTTACTGGGAGGGCAGTGGGATGGGAAAAAGAGGGATAGAGATGGGGAAGGGGGATGGAGGAAAGGAGGACTATTTAATTTTTCACATTTATACAGGATTGTCAACTGTTCTAAAATAATGAAGCACCACCGATTTAGCTGTTGACTTAAAGCAGCATTATAGCATGCACAGTTCCCTGTGGTCAGCTACTGGCTTGATCTCAAACAGCTTAAACTGCAGCCTCCTACCTTCATTTTGAAAGGCCAAATTAACTAAGCACATTGGAAAATTTTGGGTTGGAGAGGGCTTTTAACATTGCAAGTCCCCATGGGCTGCTGGTGGGCATTGCCAGAGAACGAGATAGCAGGTATCCAGGGGCTCCTTGGTCTGGGCAGAGTGTGATGTTGCTCCCACTGTCTGGGTGGTGTGGCTCTGCTCTGCTCAGTCCCAAACTTGACAAGTTGCTGGGGTTCAGTGCATCAAGGTCCACTATAACTGACCTCACAGGCTTTTTTTTACTCCTGGATAAACAAGTACTGTATGTTTCTCCAGGCTTTTTTCCCCCCTTTGGCAGAATTTGTGCAGACACATCTGTGGCTGGAGTTTGGCTGTCACTTTGCAGCACCTCCTGTGCATGGGTCCCAGGGGGATCAGACCTCGCCAGGCACAAATTATGCTAAAACTTACTACGCTTATTTTCTGCCAGGTTGTAAACAAGGGCATTAGCCTAGCAACAAGCTGAAAGCTGTCTGCTCTGTTACTGTGATCCTCTCCTGCTTCAGGACACTGCCCCAGCCCTTTAAGCTTTGTGCACTGAGCATGAAGCTCACTCAGGTGCCTCTCTGGCTAGGTTTCTCTCAATGCTTGTGCAAACCAGAGCCCTGACCTCCCTTGGACTCTGACCTGAGGTGCAGCTGGCTGCTGGATCTGTGTTGCTAGATGGTAGACCCATGGAGCCCCTGCAGAAAGATCAGCCAAGTGCTGCAGACTCTACCCAAGGAGCCAGATGTTTCCTGTCACATAAACTGGCACTGTGTTGTCTACCAAGATCCAAAGATGATTGAGATTTGTGACTGTGTCTTCTCAGTTTATCCATCCAAATACAGCAGACCCCAGGAGGTGGCATATCAAGAGTGAGATGGAAATGAATCTTTCTGCAAAACACAATTCTTTCCTGTTTCAAAGATTTTCTGTTGTGAAAAAGCAGTCGATGGCCAAATATTTTAACATACATGAGGCAGAGCCTGCTTCTTTACCTTATAGTAGGGCAAAAGTTAGTCAGCTCTTTACATAATAACATGAGTTTTTAAGAACTGTATGACTAGAACAGTCTATGTTTTCCTATGCAAAGTAAGCCTGTTACTGCCTTTGCAGATAGACCATGTTGTGTTAGGCTTTCTCCTATTACTATTGCAAGGAGTTGTCTCCTGCTCCAACTTAACACAGTACTCACCTGTTTCCTCGGTAGACCACAGTTCTTGGATACCTTCTGCATTCAGTCTTTCATCTCTCAGGGGGGGAGGTGGCATGTTTCCTTGCAGAACACATCCTGGAGAGCATGAGGCTGGAGAGGCCTGGAGGAACGAAGCAGGGATGAGTCTGGCAGGAGCTGTGCAGTGAGGCAGAGTTGGGAAGGGGCTGGGGAAGAAGTGGGTGCTCCTTAGTGCTGTTGGCTTGTCACAGTGGATGGAAATAGTGCCTTTACCTTTTCCTAGAGGGTCTTTGGGGTGATTAATGGTAAAAGGTGGTGCCTCTCCTGTCAGTTTGAATGGCTTACTGCTTTCTGTTCCTCTTGGCAGGAGCTTTGCACCTGTCTGCCACCTTCTCAGGAGCATCCTTACCTCATTTATTTAAGCTTCCAAGCAATTTGTTGTCTTCCTTGCACTGAGATGCTCTGGGTTTCTTGAAAAACCTCTTGAAATTCAAGGCTCTCTGTATGTAGATGATTTTTTTTTAACCTTGAAATCTTGCAATGTACCTTCTTAAAAAGCCATTCTGCTCCACTCCAGAAGGTTGTTTGAGAGTCCACACCATTGACTACACTCTTGCTCCCAGCATTGACTCTTCCTCGTAGCAAGGGCAGGCCTTGAGATTAAATTCATCTGATATGTAGTCTACCTTGATACTAAGTCCCTTTGACCAAAATACCTTGCCTGTGACAGTTAGGAAAGAGGGACTGGAGTCTGCTCCCATGTGGACATGAGCTGCTGTGAGGATCTTGTAGGTTTATTGAACTACAACTATGGGGAGAAGATGATGCTGGACACACCTTCCAGCCAGCTGGGGAGTCTTAATTGCTTTTGGCAGGATATCAATGAGGACATAATCTGGGGTTAGAGATGAGGATTGGTTTCGCAATTCCAGGACAAAGAATCAATTTGAATTGCCAGGTAACCTCCCATTTCACTTAGAGGTTTCTGTTTAGGAGTTTCTACACAAATGGGTATTTGGTCTTTTTCATGATATCTGTGCCAGAATCATGTTCCTCATGCATTGGCCTTCTGGAATAAAAGATAGAAGGTGTGTCTGTTTTAAAAGCAAAAAAATAAGTGAAATTTTCTTTTCCTTTCAGCATCACTTCTCTGTGGGAACCACTTTTGATTCTTGAGCTATATAATTTCCCAGCAGTTACTTGTTGTGTAGATATCTTCCCATCTCTTCTCCAAAACCAGAGAGTGCTGCAACTCTTTGCTTTGACCTGCTCAACACAAGCCAGGGAGTCCCACCCAGGTGCTGCCACACTGATCTCAATAGTCCTGCCTGGGCTAGAGCTAAGTGGAAGTTGAAGGCTCTGATAGGAAATTCATCCCATTAATAGAATTGTGTTGTTTGAGCCTGAAGAGGTGTCTCAAGGGGATCTCGAGGCAGCCCAGGTCTCTGGAGCCAATACTTATGGCACAGCAAAGAGCTGACTGACTCCAGAGCACTGTGACCCCGCTGCGGTCCTATAGCCACCTCTTGAAACAATTTAGACCATTGCCTACACCTTATCGCCTTATGCTGACTGTAAGCAAAGGGATGCCTCTTGCACCTTACCCTCTTTCTGTGCTTATCATGGTTTGTCCAAACACTGTTACATAAAACTTCCCTTCTTCCTTTTATGCTTTGAGTTTTGTGATGGATTACTTTAGCGAATGGGTAACTTCATTAATGGATGTCCTTCCACCCTGTCTGTGATGGTGAGAGTGTCAGTCATAGCTGGCTCCTAGTAGGGCAGATAGAAAGGCACTGTGGCTGCCCCAGCTCCAACAAAGCAATTCACATTTAGTGTAGTTACCCAAATTGCAAGGACTGGGTTTGGGGTTTTCTGCTTGCTGGGTGTTTTTTGCCACTTGCTGTCCAAGTATTGCTTCCTGACTTGAGCTCTTCACCACTCAGTAACTGACCTTTTGTCACAGTGAAGCAGCTCTGCTCCATGCCCTGAAGCACTTACTCCGAATGTGACTGGTTCAATGGTGGTTGGAGTGGACCAGCTCAGGAGATAGTCCAGGTACAGAACTGGGTAGAAGAAAGGTCAGGTCTAACAGAGCTATGGAGTGGGGAAAGCTGGAAGAACTGTGTAGTAAATTGAAGGCCAAGTTGTATAGCAGAGATAAGAGGAATCAGTGGAGAGATGCAGGCAAGATCTGAAAGCTTTTCATATGGGCTAGAAAGAAGGGCCGTCCAGTGGCTGTGTTTGTGTACAAACATGAGAGGGATGGGAGAGGACTCCAGGCGTGTGGAGCATAATGAGTTTTCGTGAGCCTTGATTCTTGCTGGGTAGACCCAGGTAGATGGTCAGTGGCATTGAGGAGGAAGAGATCTTTGGCCTGGGCTCTTCACAAGGGTGAAGGAGGAAGCCGAGAGAACCGGTGTTTTCAGCAAGGGCAGGGGAAGCATTTGTGGGGGAGCATAAGGAAATGAGCTTAACTGTTGTGTTAAGTTGACTTGGGGACATTCGGCAGTGGCAGGCTCCCAAGCTTGTCTGCTCCAGTTTGAAACTCTGAGTGCTCACTGGCTGCAGCTCTAGAACCATCCTGTAAATGAAGTAACTACAGTCAAATCCTTAGCTTGGTTTCCAAAGACTGACTCATTACACTTGTCTTTCCTGATCTCGTTCGTTCCCCCCCCGCCTTCCCGCATTCCTTGAAACTGGAGCCAGAGCCCTGCTAGCCCAAATTGAACATGCCCTAAGGATTAGCAAACTAAGATTAGTTTCTACATTAAGAGATCTTTACTGGACCTCAGGAGGATTACTCATCTGATGGGACAAAGTAGAGAGTTATTAGTATGGTGTCTTAACACCACTCTACCTTCAGTCCATGAAACTGGTAAAGGTGGTGTCCTCACATTAGGAGCTGTTGCTGGCATCGCTCCTTTGGTTGGGGATCGCATCTGTCAACAGGGCTACACTGTCCAGAAGTCTGCAGCACAAACACGGCCTAACGTTTTTGGAACCAGCCCGCCTCTTAGCACTATTTCAGTGTCTCTTGTGGATAGGGATTTTCAGACAAACAATCAACTAGCAACCATGTTACAAACCACTGCTTTAGCAAGAAGACTTGATGCAGTTGCATATTCCATGGTCTGCAGTCATATGGGGTGTGGTTTGACCATGACTGGTTCAGACTAGTTTCAAACATGGACAGAAATAAGAGCAATGAAGGTGGTTCCAGAAATTGCCCTAGGAGGAATGTGGAGGAAACAAGCACTGTACAGTAGATCTGAATGCTAATAAATGTGAGGAAATAAAATCATTCCTTTAAAAAACAAAACAAAAAGCTGAAAAAACACAAAAACCTGAAAGTCATTGCCCAAGGGAATGGGCTTGTAGTGCCAGACCACATGTGGACTGTGAGTTATTCAAGTCATGATTTTGTTTCATGACCAGCATTGGGTTGGCTCAGAGCCCCAGATCTAAATTACTTCAAATAGAGGGTGGTTAAGGTTGATGGGAGAGG